AGGGGCCGCCGCGGGGTGCGGGACCCCCCCCCCCCCTCACCTGGTCTCTATCAGATACGCCGTGTAGGTTTCCTGCATGTTCCCCGCGTTCTTCCCCGTGCGTTTCTCCGCCTCCGACACGCCGATCTCCATCTTCCTCAGTAAACATTCCTCGTCCGTCACCTGAACAGGAAACACACAGAGGACCCGAGAGCCGATCACATCAACGGACACGTCACGTGAAGAGCCGATCACATCAACGGACACGTCACGTGAAGAGCCGATCACATCAACGGACACGTCACGTGAAGAGCCGATCACATCAACGGACACGTCACGTGAAGAGCCGATCACATCAACGGACACGTCACACTATATCACATGGAGGATGACATAGGCTGCACTGTGTACGGGTGGGGGAGGGGCAGTGATACCTCCGGCGGGCTCGCCAGCTCCTCCTCCGCACCGAACAGGCCGGTGGGCTCCTCCTCTCCGCTCATCTCGGTGGAATAGCGCCCGCTTCCGCCCTTCTACTGCCCCGTGATCACTTCCGGCACTGAACTCCTCCCCATGTACCGTAGGCACCGCCCACACTAAAATGTGACAAGAGTCCCGCCCACGCTGCACAAACAACACCGCCCTCCCTGACCTTACACCGCCCACTCCTGACCTTGGCCCGACCACCCCTCTCAGAGGCAAGTAGCCGACCCGCCCATACCTGCTCGCTCCCGTACGTGTCCCCGACTCTTAGAGTGCGCAATGCGCATGTGCAGTGCGCAGTCCCGCTCATCAGGCTGACAGGTCACCTGATGTAGCACACTGAGCCCCGCCCTCTCTGGTCATCCTCCATCGTAGAGGAGGGATTGCTGTGCCTGGTGGGAGTTGTGCCCGATCACAGCCGATGGGCGGAGTGTGTGTAGTTCTCCTGTCAGATCACACTGGATGAGTGCAGCAAATCCCTGCCGATCCTGCCAGAAATCCTGAGCTGTCCCTGCACAATGCTGTGCAATATCTGCCCTGACTAGTGGGGTCTGGGGACTAAAGACCCCCCTCATATAATAGAGCAGAGGGGGAGGTGTTTTGTAGTCCTGCCCTAGGTTGACAACGCTATATACAGTGCAGTAAATGTTGTCACCCTAGGACAGGAAGTGTGACACTGGCAGAATCACCAGATAGAAATAAAACAGCCGCCTCATCTAAGGACAGGAGGGGCCCCGTATACCGCCTGCAGGAAATACATCACCGAGGCCCCCTATACCGCCGCAGGAAATACATCACCGAGGCCCCCTATACCGCCGCAGGAAATACATCACCGAGGCCCCCTATACCGCCGCAGGAAATACATCACCAGGGCCCTGTATACCGTCGCAGGAAATACATCACCGGGGCCC